AGGAGCATCATGTTTCTTTATTTATCCTACAGGTTGTTGGACTTGCTACAACTTATTTCACTCCAAATAGAAATGATCCTTTGTTGAGCAGGAATCTAATGCTTCTACAGACAGTCTTGAGGGAGCCTATGTGCCGATATGGCTACCAACTCGAGGTTCATGGGAATTGCAATAGAGGTGCAGCCTAATTTTTCATCCCTTAGTTTTATCAGCCAAAGTAAGCTAAACAAGGAGTGCAAAGGATTTTTTAAAGGATGCCATTCTGCTGATATTTTATCTCTTTAAATTGTGGCTAGTCTCCTTTTTTTCCCCCTCCTGTGTGCATCTACTACATGACCTATTCTTTCAATCTGGCTGGATTGAAAGGGGGAGATTAGATGGGATCAGGTTTCTCCAATCTGACAATGCCTACTATCTGTTATAAATGCCAATCTGGCACGGCTGGAGGGCACAAAGTCGAACAAGCGTGTTCTGTGGAAATCTGAAAATGCAGCAGAATACAATATGCGCGAGAAAGAACAGAAGCTTGAATCCACATATCAGCATCTGATACAGGCGGCGCGATAGCTCTGTGGTTAAGACACTCGGCTTGTCGGCTAGAAAGCTGACAGCCCAGGTTCAAGACCTGAGTGTTGCACAATGGGTGAGCTCCTGTCTTTGCCTAACTCCTGTCCACCTCGCACTTTGAAAGTATGCAAATGCGAGTAGATAAACGGGTACCACTTCTGTGGGGAGGAAACAGCGCTCTCCAATGTCATGCTGGCCACATGACAGCGGAAATGTCTTCAGACTGTGCTGGCTCAACAGGCTTGAAATGGAGGTGAGTGCTGCCCCCTGTGGTCAGCAACGACTAGATGAGTAAAATATGCACAGATTCCTTTCCTTCCATTTCCTTCCTCCATCCTTCCATGTCCCCTTGGACGGAGCAAAATCTGAGATAATGAAAGAGGCCAGAAGCAAAGAATAGAACCTGGTCTTTCTTAGATCTCATCATCATATCATCGATTAATTATCGATATGAAACATGTTTCCTCGTGGCTCTTTTTTCCTTAAGTTTCATTTTTAGGCACATGCCTTCCTACCTGATTAGGCAAATTTGATACTCTAAGAATTCTAAACTGAAGCTGTTGGCCTGATGGTGAAGGATCCAAAATCATTCAGATTCAATCATTTAACTTTCTTCAACTTCATCATCACCCAACACTTACCTATTATTGTTCTGCACAGGTATTTTGTCTCCATCAGGAACAAGATTTTTCTGCTCCACTACTCCATAACTTTCTTTGCATATCTGTATTTCCAACCCAAACAAACGATGGCAAAGCTGCATTATTCCTTTATCTCTTGAGCAACAGCATCAGTATTATTATTTTCCACCAGGGGCACATTTTAAACAAAACCTTTTTGTCTTTCCAACATGCCTAAAGTAAGAAAGTCTTGATTTATTGCAAATGACAATTTCTAATCTGACATACTAGGGTTACGGAAGTGTCATCTTTGAAACAACTTAAGTATACAATTCATTCCAAAATCTGTAGGACAAATTTTTGAAACCTGAAAATTCTGCAGATGTATTAAAAGTCCCAGAATTCTCAACTATTTATTCAATCTTGAATTTTCAGGATGGCAGTCAACATTTTTAGAGAGTGCCCATTTAGGAAAGATGGGGATAGGATAGGTAGGTTCTGAGATACTTTCAGATTAATAAAGTTTCCAGTTTGCCTCTGTCACTTTTTTCGCTTTGCGATAATCCAGTGTGAGGAAGTAGAATTAGGACTTTCAAAACATGCATCCATGAACATGAATTAAAGAACTAGAAGAGACTATCCAACCTATGAAGTTCAACCTTCTGCTTAGTACAGGAATCCAAATTAAAGTCCTAAACAGGCGGCTATCCAGAACCTGCTGTAAAATTTCCAGTGAGGGGATGGTTGGTTAAACATGTTCTACAGTTGTAGCTAAAGGTCCATGGAGATTCTCCGTCATCCAGGTCATGGTTGTCCCAATGGTGGTTTTTTTCAAAAGGCAACTGGACTTTCTTGTTTTTCTTTGAAGATGTGTTGCTTGGATGAGAAACGAAACGTCTTCAAGGAAAAACAACAAAGTCCAGTTGCCTCTTGAAAAAAGCACCCTTAGGATGTTCTACAGTTGAGACATTTTTCTCTCCAGTCAGAATCTGCCTCTTATACTCCAACACGACAACAGATCAACTCCATCAGTGGTGGGACTCAATTTTTTTTACTACCAGTTCTGTGAGCATGGCTTGGTGGGTGTGGCGTGGCGTGGCTTGGTGGGCGTGGCAGGGGAAGGATACTGCAAAATCTCCTTTCCCTTCCCACTCCAGGGGAAGGGTACTGCAAAATCTCCTTTCCCTCCCCACTCCAGGGGAAGGATACTGCAAAATCTCCATTCCCTTCCCACTCCAGGGGAAGGATACTGCAAAATCTCCTTCCCCTTCCCACTCCAGGGGAAGGATACTGCAAAATCTACTTTCCCTTCCCACTCCAGGGGAAGGATACTGCAAAATCTACTTTCCCTTCCCACTCCAGGGGAAGGATACTGCAAAATCTCCATTCCCTTCC